TGGGCCCACTATGACTTTGAATTGGAGTCACCTTGTTGACTATCAACAGCATTGCTGACTCCTAGGTTCTAAAGAGGCCTTCGCCTCTCCTGGAGACCAGCCCCAAGAACAATGGGCCTGCATCATACATGACCCCTACCAGACAGTCATGTTTACAACCGCGTGCAGTTGTCTTAAATATCAAATCCTGAAACTCTAGAGGCTTATGAGAAACGTTTAAAGTGGTTATTACTAGATGGCTTTGACAGACACTGAGCCAAAAGACCAAATAAATGGCTCACAGGACTCCCTGTTATTTATTACTTTGCCAAGAGTGTTCATGACTTTTGAAAAAAACTAATTCTCACACATGTCAGTACCCACTCATGGCATCTGGATGGCTAGATTGTATCTGTACTGTGCTATACGTTACACAAAGGTGAAGCTGGCTCTAGTTTTGAAAAGAGGCAGAGAGGCACCTGGCCATGTCATCTGGCGGCTGCTGCAGCCACGCCTATGCTGGATGACTGAGCGAGTGGCTACATGCAAGCCTACGTTCTCTGGTTAATTATTACAAAAGTGTTCAAACCGCACTATTTCCTCAAAGTTTGGAAACTGCAGATGTTGGAGGTAGAGTCAAATGTCAGGTGACACCTATGTATTAGGCTGTTTTAGTTCTTTGGCAAGTTGCCAACTGGTTTGTCCTTCTGACTTCCTGCCATGTCCAATTTCTTGCCCATTGCTTTCCACTCTTTCACAGTGCATAGCTTGTTCTCATCTCGGAGGTGAGTCAGCCCTTGAATGCCCCAGTTTTCTTATTCTGCAGATTACAAGGATTCCTGGAGAAGTTCTTTTTCTCTCCCCAGGGGGCCAGTGTCTCTGGCAGCTCACTTCAGTTTATAAGCTGATGGGTAACTACTATCTTATAAACCAAGACGGGGAGGGGGGAAAGGGGACTAGGGTGAAAGCACTGGGGTGACAGTGGGAGGGGGGTGCCAGATTGGGAGGACATTAAATAGCAAGTTCAAGTTCACAAGGGATTTGTGCAACATCCCAAAGATCCCAGGAGAAGCTGTGCTGTCCCAAGACAAGGGATTTGTTAGCTAGAGGATGTCTTTTTAAAACAATTGAAATGTAAAATATGCTGTGTTCCTTTCAATCCTTTTATTAGGCCAGAGACAGGCAGATGGAGACCTGGCTTATAAACTGAAATGAGCTGCATTTTAATGAGCCTGTCAACACTACATCCCCCCACCCCCGCCCCACGCACAGCTGAATGGCATCTCCTTGCACGCAGGAGGTAATCCATGGACAGAGTATTTGAGGATGTACTGTCTCCGTGCCATAGATACTGAAAGTGCCCTTAAGCCCACCTGAACAGTTAGAGGTAAGAGCTTTGTTCTGGGAACTGCCTGGCCCTCTCATCCTCAGGTGCTCCAGCTCAGTGAGACACAAGCAGGGAACTGAGTTATGACAAGCTCTACAAAGAGTCATGTGTAGTACTGACACCAGTAACTACAGCACTCAGGAGGGGAGTGCCTGAGAGACGGTGGTAACAGCTTATTAAATGTATTCACCATTTCCTGATCGAATAACTGGTCAAATGTGCAAGAGGACAAAGACTAGAATGAAATGAGTGCTTACTATGTGCCTGACACCAGGCTGGGCTCTTAAAGAAGTTTCTTCTTAAGCACATGGTCCTCACAAGATAAGGATAACATTTTCTTACCTCACAAGGTGGAGAACTAAGTAAGCTGGCCAAGCTGAGTAGCCAAGCCCATCGGAAGACTCAGTGGTTCAGCTGTGGTTCTAAGCCAAATGTGCAAACATACTAGAGTTTGTCAATGACATCACAGGGTGCTTTACTGGAGAAGCCTCATGGGACACTAGAGATAGCTGAGATTTAGAGTGATCATTTCCCTCCAGCAGGAATTTGCTCCAGGACTCATCTGCTGATGTGTGGCATACTTCTTGGTCTTAAGTAACAATTTCCCATTGTGAAAGCCAAGGCATCTTGATTTTGCATAAATCCTTTTATAATGATTACTTGGTATCATGGGCTTATTGAAAAAGACCTGTCACATCTCACAGGGCTTTTCCTTACCTGCTCTGCTCTTTCAGGACCTTTGACGGGGTAAACTCACTGTGTCAACATACCAATAGAACTGAAGGCGGTTTAGACACTTGTCTATTATTATTCCATGGAGCAGTATAGGGAGGGGTGGTAAGGATAATGCCATTCTTGCCTTAGTTCTACATTTTCTTCTCCTTGCAAACCTAGATGGATGAACAGTACTTTTTGTTTAACACAGATAAGCATGACCTGATACAGCACCCTCAATGTGCTATAGTTTATTTCTATGTGACATTTTCTATTAGCATGGGTTTTGAAAAACAAGCAGTATACACAACAGGCTTTACCTTTTTCATCCAAAAATATACAGCTGTCTAAGACTCTTAGAAAGTGTTGGCACCCATGAAGAACTGGCTGTTTTGATTCTCCCTGGCCCAGTATGAGATAATACATAGTCTGCTCTCACATACATTAAAAAACAAAACAAAACAGTGCTCATAGGGCTGGGAAGATGGCTCAATCAACAAAGCACTTGCCTTGCATTGCCCCTGTAAAGAAGTCGGATGCACATGCGTGTGTGTGTGTGTGTGTGTGTGTGTGTGTGTGTGTGTGTGTGTGTGCGTGTGTGTATGCGTATGCTTGTATTCTCAGCTCCGGGGAGGCAAGCAGGCAGATCTGGAGCTTGCACACCAGAAAACTTAGCCTAATTATTGAGCCCCTGTTCCTAATAAGAGAGCCTGTGTCAAAAGCAAGGTGGGCGGCGCAACACTGGAGGTTGCACTTTAGCCTCCACACATAAGAATCTGGCAGGTGTGTGTGGTGTCTCAGTGTTCTTGCTGAGAGAGATAATATATCCTATTTCATAATAGAAGGGCTTTGGATATGCTACTTCAGAAAGATCCCAAAGGTTTCCTATAGTGCTGTCTTGACTCTTCCCCAGGCCCACTAGACTCTAAGGGGAGAGCCCAGTACACTTCATTTTAGAAGAGTATTTGTATAAGGCATGGCAGCACATGTGTGCACTATCAGGAGGCAGATGTAGTATGGGTTCAAGAACAGCCATAGCAAATTCTAGGCTGTCCTGGGCTATGTATTCAGATTCTGTCTCAAAAACGTAAAACCAAATCCTAACAAAAAGTATTTGATTATAAAGCCATTCAAGTTTGAGCTACAAAGGTCAGTAGCTAACCTTGCAGGTTTCCCTAATTAGGGCTGTGCTTTTAAACTCCCTCATTTTCTATATTACAATGAGCAGATAAGCATAGCATGAGGATCTGATGATAAGAACCTACTACAGTGTCTGAGCAGCACACAGCAGGTAAGAAGAGGCACTGCCTTGCCCTTTACTGAAATTTGAAAATGACTTCCCGACCAGCTGCTCTAGTCCTCCTTATCTCAGTTTCTCCATCCCTCACAGAAAGTCCTCAGATTCCTCTCCTAGCCAGGCACTAAAGGGCAATGCCCAGGCCAGCAATAAGGACACACTCTGAGTGTGTGAAGGGCTGATTGACACAAGTTTGTCTGCAACCTCTGTTATGACTAGGAGACTGAGAGGACATGAATGGAGAGTAGTAGGCCTGATGCCCTGGCAACTGTCAGCACTGGAATCTCTGTCTTCTTAAATGATGGCCTTCAACACAGACTCCCTGGCTGGACATTGTTGCAAGCCTTTCCTGTCTTCTTCTAGATTTAACTCCCACTCTAAGTATTGATTTCAGGTTTGTATCAATAGTCAAGAAAACCACAGGTCAAAGCGTAGTCTAATAGGTCCATTTCTGAACCTCCAGAGCGTGGCTCACATCCTTTTTCCTTTGGGTTCTGGGGCCTCATGTTTAACTCTGACTTCCGTGGGGTCAGATCATCAGGTCTACAGGCTGCTTCTCTGGCTTGTTTTACCCTTGGATCTGGGGAAAGACTCTAGGGTCTGTCTGTGCAGCACCTCCAGGTGGAGCTCCCAAGCATTTGCCCCAGCTCAGCTCAGCTGGGGATCTCAAAAGTACCAGCTCATTTTTGGACCTCAAATTCTTGAGCTCCAGGTTCTAATTCTGATAAAAACAGTGAGTACATTTTTTTTTTTTTAAATAAGGATCACATCAGTGGCAATGATTTTGGAAGAGAGAGAAGGTTCCAGAGGAGTTCTGGAGACAGACATTGGGCAGAAGTACACTTGGGGGAGAAAAAAGCAGGTTCTATTTTTTTTTTTTTACTCATCCATTCCCTGAAGCCATGGAATGGATCTAGGGGACTTAACATTCAGGTAGTTGTTGGATAAAGAATGGCTGCAAAAGTGGCTATAACAGAGACAGAAACAAAAGAGAAAATGCAAGATTGGTGTTAGTAACAAAGTAGAATAAATCACTTGATTTTGGATATATGACATTTGAGGAATGCTTTCCCTAGACATACCAAGTTACAAAAATGTCTGCCTCTTCTCCTGTCAACTGCTGGGTAGGCTGTATATGGAACTTTTGAAGAGAAGAAGGGTCAGATGAGATCCTGCTACTTTCCCATCCTATACATGGAAGACTGCAGCAAGACAAACACCTGCTGTGAGTGCAGATCCCTGTCGATCTAAAGCGCAATGTTATTAGGAAAGACACTTGCTCAATTAAGAAACTGAATGTTGAATTTATTACTGCAGAATGATCCCTGGTTTATATCAACAGTCAAAGAAATTACAGGTCAAACTGATAAAGGGTTCAATAGGATCTCAGCATGAAAGTCAGCAGAGGAGCATTCTGGAAAGATTTCCAGGCTTTCACCTCTCCACTGCTTCATTGCTTGTAGCATGATATGAAGTAATAACTGGAGGTGTCAGCTGTGCCTCATACAATCAGGAAATGAGGTGGCCTCCTGCGTTGCTGTTCATCTCCTTTCTTTGAAGAAGAGACAACGAATCTATGCACCAGTCTCTGGGGTCCCCTCCCGCAATGCCCTTATGATTTACCTGTGTTGTAGCCCCTTCCAAGGGCTGGCCACGGACGGTGATTTTTCCAGAGATTTCCAAGATACCAGTCACTCTGGTTCTCTACCAAGCCCAGGACCTGTTGTCCTGTAAAACACAGAGTACACAGATGTCTCAAGCAGTTCAGTCATCTAGGGCTAAAGAGTACCAAACACAAGGGATTTTAGGCAGATCATCATAATAACAGCGCACATCCACTGGGAACTTTCACGAAGTGCCAGGTCCTGACCTGGGTGTTTCACTTGCATTATTAACATGTTTCATTCTTACAATTATTCAGCTTCTTTTATTATTTACATTTTACAAAGAAGAGACAGTTTCTCAGAATGGCTAATTACCTTGTCCAAGGTCATCTGTCTACTTCTGATAAATCCAGAGTCTCCATCCATCCATCCATCCATCCATCCATCCATCCACCCATCCATCCACCCACCCACCCATCCTTCCACCAATCCATGCACTGATGTATTCATTCCCTAAATCATGGGACAAAAGTCACATATTTATGGCCTTATATACTAATTAATGTTCAAGCATTTCAATCTGATGTTTTCCATTGGATATTAATTTATTGGCTTTCTGAACCTGGGCTGAAAAGGTATTTTTGGTGTTTGTTTGTTTGAAACATCAAAGTATAAGGAATTATCCTTGTTTGATGAGAGGAGAGCCCATAGGGAAAAACCACTCTGTGACTAGCTCCTTACAATGCTTCTCTTCTATTTCTAAAATACATCGATCTATGTCAATAAGTACCATGCCAACATCACATCAATGCAATAGTGTCATTTGAAGGATACTTGTTCTTCTGTCATATATTGGGCCTTGTCTCTAGTGTACCATGACATCTTGAAGGGTTAGAGATGTGTCAGGCTGTGTTTGTTGGGTCCATCACTAAGAGATATGTGTCTGGAATATGGGTAGGCCTGAATGTCAGAGCCTTCCAGGCACGTTATCACACCTACCTGGTTTCATTTTGAAAATCCAGTAAGACATCAGTGAAAGGTATTGTCTCAGAATTACCTCTGCTATTTTATTGACTGGGGAATGAGACTTTCGTACAACCAGTGATTAATGCAAACACTGATAAAACTAGTACTAGCATTTGCATTTGTCTGACATCCAGATCCTTTTCTATTCAAGTGTTTTTTCTTATAACAAACATTTGAAATAGGTATCATTAATCCATATTTCACAGAAAGAGAAACTGATGCTTAGCCACCTTAAATGATGTGCCAACAGTCACACAACTAGCCACTCCTGGCTTTCACAGCTAACCATCTGAAGTGAATCTTCTCATGCTGTTGACCAATCTGAGAAATAAAAAGCTCTCTGACCAAATGAAAACCCAGCACCATGCTAAGAAAACCCAGCAGTACTATTGGAATACCACGCTGGGTGATATAGGGCCTCCTCGGTATGATGACAGCTCTCCGAAATGATGGTGCAAGGGTTTGCTGTAATTTATTTGATCAATTTACTGAGCTGCTACCTAAATCATCATCCCAGCACAAACACATAAATTAAAGGCATGGAAAAAATACTATCACCCACTTTGTCAATGTAGGTGAACACATCTCAAACTTGTAGAATCCCTTTGAAATGTGTATAAACAATTTAAAGAGTGCAAGATCCAATCAATGTTTCATGCAATAATCCTGGGGTTTTGATACAAAATAATCAGCTTAAAAAAGCTTGGCCCCCTTATATGAGAAGCTGTGAGCAAAATCCTGGCACTAGAGAAAATACGGTAACCTCATATAGGATCATAGGATCAGAGGGCAAGGCCAAAGGAGTCATTGGGGGGTCATGGATTATACCAATTAAGGAACCTGGATTAGTATCACAAATGTTTTTGGGTTGATAAAGGTGTCAAAAACCCAGACCTGAGAAAGGTTTGGTGGTTTGAACAAAGAATGCCCTCTGATAGGCTCATGTAATTGAACATTTGGTCATCAGTTGGTAATGCTATTTGGAGTGACGGTACAACCTTGCTTAGGAAAGTACCTCTTTAAGGGTGGGTTTTGAGAGATTACAGACTTGCCCTACTTCTACTTCTCTCTCTCCTTCGTGTTTGTGGTTGAAGATGAGATATCTTGGCTTCCTGCTTCTGATCCCATTCCTGCTGTTTGCTATAACACCTTCCTGCCATGATAGACTCTTATCCCCCTGGGACCATACACAAAAATAAACTCTTCTATAAATGAGTTTTGATCATGGCATTTTATCACAGCATCAGAAAAGTAACCAACACAGGTACCATTTTCTCAGAACTGACAAACATCCTACATTGAGGATGGCTACCTGTGCCTTAGGGAAGATGAATTTTCATGTCTAAAAATCCAAATTCTGTATTTTGGCACCAGCCATATCTTTATTTGGCCTCAACCTATTGGTTCAATAAGTCTTCTCCTAGCTAATACTTCATTCATACCCAACACAACTGTAGGGTGTTACTTGTGTTCTTGCCTTTCACACTCACTATGTACACCCTCAGCAGGGACTAAACTTGCACCTGCTGGTCCCTGCCCACAGTCCTTCCATAGTCTATATTGGGCTTGACACTTAACACATAACCTCGAGTCTAAGCTAAACTTTGCATTCATGGCATCATGGCAAATACCTTTATTTAGTAGCTCCTATCAGTAGTTGTGCCTTTAGCTGATTTATATCCCTTAAATTAAAATTGGGTGATAGTAAACATATTTGACTGTCTTGTATACTTGTCCTGTATATCTGTCCTGTGTTCCTACATTAGCACATGGGCAAGGTCTGAGTAGTATTTCACACACAGTAGGTGTTTAACAAATGTGGGTACATAAATAAGCCTTTTGGTTATTTCTCTTACCTTGAAAGCCCATTCATATGTGCATGTTAGTGTCCCTATATGTCTTTTTGTGTGTGCGATGTGTGTGCATATGTATGTATGCAAGTATGCTTGCCTATGTGTGCGTGGGGGACGGTAGAGGGGGACATCAGGTGTCTCCCTGTATTGTTCCCCACCTTAAAATTTCAAATGAAGTTTCTTGGTGAACCTAGAATCTGATGTTCCAGCTAGACTGGCAGGCCAGTGAGCCCCAGCAAGACTGCTATCCCTGCTTCCCATGCTTGTTACAGATGTGCTCTGCCACACTTAGGCTTTTACATGGGTGGCAGGTTTGAATTCAGCTTCTCATGCTTGAATGTCAAGCACTTTACCAACTGAGCTATTGTTTTCATGCCCATTAAGTACTGCCAATACAATAAAAACATCCTTAAGTGAATGGTTTCTTTTACTTTCCTTTATAAAAATACTGTACTGGAGATGGCACAGAGGCCCCCATGCATGGTAGGCAAGTGTTTTGTCAATGTCAAATGCCCTCCCATAAGCTTAGGAATTTGAACACTGTGATACCAGTTGGTGGTGTCAACAGTGCCAGCCTTTGTCACTGGTATTTCAAAGCTGCATGTCATTTCACCCTCTCCTATTCCCAACATCAATGCATCTTTTCTAGAGCTGTTGAGCTCAGGTATCAGTGTCCTCCACTTGAAGAACTGCAAAGATGAAAAACAGCAGCAGCATATCACTCCCCAAAAGCTTAAACTTAAGAATCTTTAGGGATAACCTTAACTCTCCCCCAAGGATATCATTCAATTTTTTTTTCCTCTTAAGCCTATACTCCCTTTTTTTTCTGATGGCAGAACACAACTCATTCCCTCAATGTTCTACAAAAAAATAAAGTATGAATCCTTAACTAGAAATAAAACTGTAAGGTTCATATCCATTGTCTGAGAAAAGCCAAATAACCAAGAGCTAGAAGACTTCATTTTGCTTTAAGTGGATTCACTAGCTGTTACATCAATTATTAAACAGTAGAGAGCAGAAGTGATTTTCTTTATTAGTTTCTCAGTGGCCTTGGGTTCTGCATGTAGGCTTGTGAATCCCCTGAGCTGTCTGCTTGGTGTGTGTCTCCCAAGCCCACAGAGATCTGTGGCTAGGGACAGGGAACTACTGTGAGCAGCGACAACTGCTGGAGGCAGGGGTATAAAATCTGGACCTTTGGTTGCTGTGTTCTCCTGTGCAGCCAAATACTTTCCAATTTCTCATTGCCATGGCATCATTTTGACTATGATAAACACATTTAAATGATTTTACATGTGTTAAGTGGTACACACTTTTCTTTGGTTGTCTCCATGCATAATGTATAGGCTTTTCTATAACTTTGGTTTTTTGGGTATGGTCTAGGGGTCATTACTTTAGACAATAGCTAGTGCAAGTCTGTGTCCTTCTGCTGTTCTAGTCCCAGGAGGAGGGACTGCCTAGCCTCTTTCTGGTAACCTTTTATCTCCCTAAGTATAGATTACTTAACTTTTGAGAAGTTTGAGAAAACTAAGCTTACCAATTTAGCTTCCTTGTATCCCTTTGTTCTCGTGATCCCTTCTTCCTCTGTGTGTTAATGTGTGCATTCAAAGTGCTCTTCCATGTTCTAAGTTATGTGGGGAAGAACTATCCTGACAATGACCTCACTATTCAGGATGTCCCACAACAGGTGATCAATTGTAACTATGGGCCCAAATGTTAAGAAGTCACATCGCAGATGCACTTTAGCATCACCCTCATCAACAACACAAGGTGATACTTTGCTTTAACTCCTTTATGTCTGAGCAAGTTAGTGTGTGGGTGTGTAGTTAATCTCCTGTGTACTTCCACTGCCTTAGATATCAACACTTCTGAGTATCAATCCTGACCCTGTGCCATGCAATCTGAATTATCAAATTACTCCTTACATGATTTGTATGTTCAATGAAGACAAATTATTAACATGACTGGAAGGTTGGTCTCTGCTTTACTTAAGTGTTAGGTTCATCTGCAGGGCTTATATGGGGTATTGTTCACTTTCAGTTCAAGCAACAGAACTCAGTGAGGCTCTCCATTACTACATATTTCTTATTTTATTTTAAGGTGTAAAGGTATTTTGTCAATATGCATGTCTGTGTACCATATGATGCCTGGTAGCCCCAGAGGCCAGAAGACTGGAGATTCTCTGGGTCTGGGTCTAGATGTTTGTGAGCCACCCTGTGGGTATAGTCACTGAACCTAGACTAAGGTA